AATATAAATAAGAATTGGGGCTAGGAAGCTGTTGCTGAAACCCAGTGTAAGATGATGGTGGAGATGGGGAGAAGTAGTAGGTTTGAAGCCATTATTTTGAAGATAGACACCACAGGACTTGGGATAGATTATATGTGAGGCAGGAGCAAAAAGTGTCAAGGAAAATTCCAAAGTCTTTGGCTTGAGAAACAGTAAATGGTGGTGCTGGGTAATGACATGGGGACCACGGAGAAAGGAGTGCTCTGTTTTGTCTTATTTGAAGGGGACACAGTGGATGCTGGCGGCACCAGCCCACACCCCCCAGCCGTACCACATCAGTGCACACTGGTTGACTCCACCTGCCAGCATTTGCATCTCTTTGCCTGAGATCTTTCTCCCAAGCTGCAGACGCCACTGTGAGTGCCCCAGCACTCCGTCCTCGGGAAGCAGCCTTCCATCACTGACACTCAGAAGTTGGTGAGTGGGTACACCAGCGCCCTCCCCGGGTGGGATGGGGTATGTGCCCTACCCCAGTGCTCTGCAGGGTTCAGCAGTGGGATTGAGCTCCGGCTCCACCATAGCAGCCAGCTAGAACACACATCCTTATTGGACCTTTCCAATTTCTAGCTCATTCTCCCCAATTCCCTACTACTGGTTCCTGCACCTTCCAAGTACATTACCTACACTTGACTCCTTGACACTGGGTCTGGTCTGGGGGAGTCCAAACTAGGACAGGGAAAACAGTATCTTCTGATTCCTATACCCCGTTCTTCTTCGCTCTGCTCATCTCACCTGGCCATTCGTGCTCACTGCCTCTCCCAGAAAGAGTAGCAGAGTCAAGATCACCAGTGAGCCTCAGTCACATAACATGGGGACAGAATGGAGTGATCTTGATAAACCAGAGGGTTCACTCGCTGATTGCCCTAACCTGGGCCCCGGGCCCACTAATAATCAGCTCGCCTTTTCCAACCACTGAGCGCAGCTGGCACATCTGCAAAATGAATATAGAACAGAAGGAGCAATGATCTGAGTGCATCTAGGGAGATGTCAACACGGAGGTGCAGGAGAATGACGGACCTTTCTGCCTCCTCCTCCTTCACTGGACAGTTCAGCAAATGCCCTGCGACATGAGGGCCACAGACTATTAGCAGTAGCATCAAATGCTATTTATTAAGCAATGACTCTAAGGAGGAACTAAACTCTCTCATCAAAACCCGGGGCAGAGACCTGACTTGCCACATGCCATATCTCTTAGGGGAGCACGCTTGTTTATGCAGAAGCATTTTCTATGTCACAAATGGTTCAGAATGATCACTTTCCATATTCGTTCTGTTGACGTGGATTGACTGTGTTAGAGGAGGCAGTTAAGCAAAAGCGGCACAATGGTCCTTTGGTTTGAGCAAAATACCGCTTGCTGCAAATGAACTGCTGTCAGTGTCCATCAGGCATGATGTGAACACGATCCGCCTCTCTGGAAACGAGAAGATAACAGCACAGTGCTGTCGGGGTGAGGATGCTGAATCGGTACCCCTGGCATATCAAGAGGTATTGAAGACTGGGCACAGGCTTTGGAATCAGTTGGATCTGGGATCCAACTCCAGGCTAGCCATTTACTAGCTAGTTACTTTGGGTGTTCTCATGAGCTAAGTGGCGAGAATATGCCCACTTCATAGGGTGGCTGAGATGAGTAATGACCAGCAACAAGCAGAACAAGATTTCGATATTACTTCCCATTTCTGATTAACTTTTTGTAGCTGAAGGAGACCTGGCAAATCCACCCTGACTCAGTAAAGACCTGAGAGAAACCAGTCCAGGGATTCTCAAGGCAGGGAGCTTGCCACCCAGAAAAAAACGATGACGCCCCCAAGTAGAGGTTCTTTTCCAGGCCGTCTGTGCCTCTTCCAAAGGCCTCCTGTGCTGCAGTATCTCTTTTTGAAACGTGTCTTACGCTTCCGTTTCCTCAGCACCGATCATAGTGCTGGGAACAAGTAGGGGAGCAAACTTGGTGCTGTGGAAATCGCACACTTTTGCATTAGACACGCCTGGGTTCAAGTCCTAGTTCTGACACTTGCCTTTGAGCAACATACTTCCTTAAGTCTCAGAATCCCTATCTACAAAGTGGGTAATAATACTACCTGAAAGTGTTCTGTGTATGAACTAATAGACAGCTTCGTACAGTGCCTGGGAAATTGTAGACACTCAAAAATGTTAACCCTTAATGATAAACATTTGCTGAATGAACTCAGGAATAAGAGGAACTCCTTTCAATTAACAATGTACACACACCCCTCAGCAATATAAACATGCCATATCATTTTCCTTTATGGATATCAAGATGTAGCTACCGTTCTTTCTTGTACTGGCATAATCATAGCAAGCTCTGGTCTGTTCTCAGAATTACACAGAACAAAACACACTGCCATCCCAACGTACACACAGATGGAAAACCTGGTTACAAATAATGTGGGGGGAGTATCACAGCCTCTCCCCCGGCTATATAGTAATTACCAATGGAATTCTCCACTGTACAAAAACTGTAAAAAAACCTGACAGACACCACCTTCACCAGATGATCAAGGTCAACATCACCGGTGATAAAACATATTGGAATTATATATCCCCCAGTATGGTGCACTAAGGAGGACACATCACTTCTGTGGTTTTCTTGCAGAAACTTCAAAACCCCAGTCTAATTTTGAGAAGACATCGACAAATCCACATCCAGAGACAGTCTACAGAATAACTGAGCAGTACTCTTCCAAAGTGTCAAGGTCCTGGGAGACAAGGAAATAGTGAGGAGCTGGCACAGACTGGAGGAGTCTAAAGGAACATGAAAACTAAGTGCACTGTGGGTCCTAGACTGGATCTGAATAAAGTTTGCCATCTGTTTGTTTGTTTGTTTGTGAAATGCCAAGGGCAGCCTCAAAGGGGAAAAGGATTGACACGAGGTCCAAACGAGGGGCGCGTGGAAGAGAGAAGGCTAATCCCAGGAATTTGACTGACCAATTGGAGGTGAGAAAGATTTAGGAAAGGATTGGAGTCTAAGCAACATTTCTTTCACACCTGAGCACCAATGATATACTTTCTCTCTTCAGCCCAATCCCCTCAAACCCAACCTAGAATAAGGAAAAAATCTGGGCCACTTCTCAAGAGACATATGAAAACATGTTCAACATCACTAAACATCAGAGAGATGCAAATTAAAACAACTATAAGGTATCCCCTCACACTTGCCAGAATGCCTGCCATCAATAAATCATCAAACATCAAATGCTGGCAAGGGTATGGAGAAAAGAGGACTCTAGTATACCGCTGGTGGGAATGCAGATGGTATTTCCTCAAAAAATTAAAAATTGAACTGTCATTTGACCCAGTGATCCCACTTCTTGGAACCTAGGTATGTGCCCTGACTGGGAATTGAACTCACAATTTTTGGTGCACGGAATGATGCTCCAACCAACTAAGCACCCGGCCAAGGCAACACTGACTTCCTTTTCAATTCCTTAAGAGAAAGATAACTGAATAAAATACTCAGTCTTTTGTAAAACACTTCAGAGGTTTGGTGGTTGAGCCACATCCTTCCTGGGCAGGTGTAAGTAGCCAATCAATCGCCATGTCATACCAAGCAATTGTTCTGAGTGCAAACTAATTAAAAATTTAATCCCATGATTTTCATCTTAATCTCTTTTCCCCATTAGCTTTAATCAATGCCCACAAATACAATTTAGAAGAACTTTTCATTTAGATAAATGACTGAGTAGGCTACCTAATTAGTCTGTTATGAATCAATTGATAACTAAAATTATGTGCTAATTACTAAAATCCACACACTAATTTTTAAAGTATTTTATTAGCACAACGGCTATGTTCCTGTTATCAAAATGTCCTTCCTATGTTACACTTTCCAATTGTTCAAACCTGTTTCTCTTAACTTTCCAACATCAAGCTGCGTAGGTAAACAATACACTTGACAAATGTCTGCCTACCCCTGCCTTGCACTGTAACACAAGCAATAGTGAAAGCTGTAGCAATAAGTAGATTCCACAAACTTCTTAGCTACCTGGGGGCTTCTCTGCACTCTGCAAAATAATAATAATAATAATAATAATAATAATCAGGCCAGATTTTTAAAACAACTAAGCAAAATTGAGCATTAGGATGTGAGGACTGGTTTGAGGAAGGGCAAACTTTTCACCCTGTTCCAATGCCAAGGTGGCTGCTCACTAGGTCTGTGAGTTATTTGGTGACCATCTTTCTTATCTACAGCAAAATTTCTACTGCTTTCAAGTCCCACGGCACCTCTTAGGATGCCCAATCCTTAGGTTCCTTCAGGTAAAAGAGATCTTTGGGGGTCAGTGTAGGGGAAAGGAGGGACATCTGTAGTACTTTCAACAATAAAGGTAAACATAAAAAATAAAAGTCGCTTTTTTCCCTGACTTTCTCCTGTTGCTTCTGCTACCTTAAGCTCTTCCTCTGTTTCACCATCTCCAGCTTTAATAAACATACTTTCAAAAACAAAAATAAATAAATAAATAAAATAAAAGTCAATGGCGCTAGAATCCTGTAGATGTTTCTGCCACTTCAGCAACGGTGCTTTCTCCACTTGAGTTTTCACTGCTATTTCAATAAAAGATGAGAAGAGTAAAGAATGGTGCTTGCCATCAATGAAAACCAATAAAGACTCCTTCTCACGCTGGACCTGGCCCCAGAAGCAAGAGAAAGGGCGGCCAGACAAGAACATTTAATGAATAAACCTCAATGGAGAAGAAAATGGTCTTCAGGCTGCGGAGGCCGCTGCACACACACACGTCAGGGCGATGAAGTTCGAGATCATCGCCTCTGCCCACACACTGCATCTGCCACTTCCAACAGCCCAGTAAGAACCACTTGTGCGGTGGGTTTTCAATACAAACTTATTTGACCTGCCTCCCAGCCACCTCCCCACTTCGCCCCTCCCCTGTCCTGCCCACCCTCGGACACCCCCACACCCGGGCGGCCCTTCCCCTCGGCCCTCCTCTCACCGACAAGCCGCTGCGGGTCGAGACTCGGAACTGCTCCGTCAGGCTGCGCTGGAGCGGAAGCAGGAATAGGGACACGCAAAGGAGCAAGGGGCTCTTCACTTTCTTAGCGTCCGAGGAGCTCCAGGGCAACCGGAGAGGAAGTGGCCGGGCTTTGCACCGGAAGCGGAAGTCGCGCGCGGATCCAGGCCGCCGCCATGTTGTGTGTGGCAGATAGGGATCGCCGCCCTGACGGTGAGCTCCAGCGGCACCGCGGAGAAGGCGAAGGAGCCAACGGGCGCTTACTGACCTCCGTGGGTGTCAGGCACCGTGCTGTGCACCAGAACCCACAGAACAGGACCCACAGGGCACTTTCCCTCCTGGCGTTCAAACCTCCTAGCAGTGGATACTGAAGGATTAACCATGCGGTGCCCGCTGTGGTTTGAAGCAGCGAGGCCCACAAAGCACGTGGGACCAGTTGGTTTGGGGGCATCTTCCAAAGCTCATTTGACTTTGGTTCTTTGGGCTAAGGAGCAGCATGGTGAATGGCAAGAGATAGTTGGGAGGTAGGCAGTGGTGGATGGGGTACGTGGAATGTGTAGAATTGGGCCACTGACAGTTGGGTGAGTGTTGGTGTGCCACACACTGAAAGGGAACACAGGAGGAGGAACAGATTTGTAGGAATTTTTGTGTCTAGACCTGTTGAGCCTGTGGGACCCCCTAGTGGAGAAGCTCAGCAAGGAAGTGCCTATTTGGATCTCTTAGGGAGAGGCCTGAGCTGGAAGGGCATGTTTTAGATTTGTTACCAAACTCAAGGGGTTTGCCACTTGGGGTGCTCTATTCAAGAATGAGACATGGTTCTAAGGTAGTTTTATTGACCTGCAGCAAGCCGAGGAGATGGAGCATTCATATCCCAAACCCTGTCTCCCCCAAGGAATGCTTAGCCATTGCTTATATACACTATTTGGTTAATTACATGTTGATTTCTTCTTTGCATTTATCTGATTGAGTTCCTATCAGCTTATCCTGTTTACAACTGCATCTGCAAAATACTGTGCGACATTTTAACATTTCGCAAGAATGTTAAATGGAAGACAAGTTTGAGATGCTTGTCCTATCTAACAGATTTATGCACGGGGATGGGAATGGAGCAGAAGCATGGAAAAAATTGCCAGGAGGGGAGAATACCATTTGGGAAAGAGGTTCAGATGGCCTCAAGAGCTTCTCTGCTTAAAGGAGAGAAAGAAGAGTAGGTAATCTTAAGAGAAAAACCAGGATAACATGGTATTTCAAGAGGTAAAGGAAAAGTGTTTTAAGGAAGGGTAACCAACTGGATGGATTTTCCTGAGAAATTAGTGAGATGAAGACTGAGAAATGGCTTGACTAAACAGGAATTGCTATTAGCTAGAGCAGGTTCACTGGCAAGGTTGAAGGAGGTCAGCTTGGGCTGATGGTAGAAAACATGAGGGTGGTGATGGGAAAATGGAGACAAATGAGCATAGACAGGCCTTCCAGGAAGTTGCCTGTGAAGAAATGAGAAGGATGCTGGATGGAGGATGTTCATATTTCTTATTATTTTTTAGATTGGCAAGACATAAACTTGTTTAAATATTGATGAGGAGGAGCCAGGGATTTGGGATGTTCATAAGCCCATGCTTAAATTTGACCCATGCCCAAGAGCAGCTTTTGAGAACAAGTCTTAAGAAGGCAGGGCAGGAGGAGAGAGGGTACGCAGAGCACAGTGAAGGGCCTGACCTCAGGTAGTAACCCTGGGAAAGAAAGGGGAGATACATTTGTAGCATCTGTGCTATTGAGCAGGTAGGTTGTGCATTTCACAAATCCAAAGGGTGCAACTGACAGCAATATCATCCTAATTTTGAACAGTCATCATGACTATTTCCTGGAATATCGCAGTATAGAGCCTAGAGGGAAGGGTACTCTTTTCTAATTCACACAAAGTGGCCCTAGCAGACATGAGTAGTGGAATTTGGATGCTGGAAGTTGAGGTTCTTCCTGTCTCATGGTGTGCATTCTGCCTGGAAAAAGGAGGTCGGTTTATTGAAGGAAGGGAATGGAGTCTTGGAGAGGCTTGTAGACAGGAAGAGGTGTGCTTGGGGAGAAGGCAAAGAACAAGCAGATTTTAGCCATGTAGAACCCAGACAAGTGAGCTCTGTATGGAAAGTGGATGAAATCACCAGTATTGACATTATCTCATTTTATTGAGGCATTTCTAGCAAACAAGTAGCTTTTTGCCTCAGGTGTAATGTCTTGGCAGGCAGATGGCGATGTCTAAGCCTTACTGGTCATCTTGTCTCCCACTGGAAACTTGTTTCCATTCCTTTTGAAGGACACTGGGATGCTGCCCCTATTTCACAGGGAAATGGTTTTTTGTGGAAGTGGAACCAGAGGCCATCTTTTGTAAAAAAAAAAAAAAAAAAAAATTGTTGACAGTATTACAGATATCTTCCATTTTCTCCCTTTTTGCCCCCCCTCCATCAGTCCCCGCCCTAGCCCATACTATTGTCTGTGTCCATGGATTATGTATATATGCATATGTGTTCTTTGGTTAATCTCTTCCTGCCCCCCACCCCTGGAGATGGGTTATTCTATTTCATGCATCCATACCTTTGGACCTATTTTGTTTGTCAGTTTATTTTGTTCATTAGATTCCACATAAGTGAGATCAAGTGATATTTGTTTTCTTCTAACTGGCTTATTTCAGTTAACATAATACTCTCCAGGTCCATCCATGCTGTCTCAAAGGGTAAGAGTTCCTTTTTTACAGCTGAGTAGTATTCCATTGTGTATATGTACCACAGCATTTTTATCCAGTCATCTACTGATGGGCACTTGGGCTGTTTCCTGATTTTAGCTATTATAAATAACACTGCTATGAGCATAGGAGTATATATTCTTTCTGATTGGTGTTTCAGGATTCTTAGGACATATGCCTAGAAGTGGGATTATTGAGTCAAACAGCAGTTTCATTTTTAATTTTTTGAGGAACCTCCATACTGTTTTCTACAGTGTTTTGAAAATGCATCAGGCGTTCTACTTCCAGGAAGATGGAATAGATGTACTTTCCCCTTTCTCTCCCACAAAGTACAACAAGAAACCGTGGGCATTACATACAAAACAAACATAAGAAGACTGAAAGGTGGAGAGAAGACACATGACTAGGAATGCTGGGACCCACAGAGCAGCAGGGTGGCAAGTTACCTGGGTTTTCTTTTTCATCATATATTGCAGCCTTGGAGGTAAAGAAGCCAGTGACCCAGAAATGCTAAGGGATACAGACCCCTCAAAAATGAGTGCATACTATATGATTCCAATTGCATAGCATTCTTGAAAACTCTAATCCATAGTGACAGAAATCAGATCAGTGATCACCTGGGAATGGGAGGTGGGAAAGGCAAGATGGCAAGATTATAAAGGGGCATGAGGAATCTTTTGGGGGTGATGGATATACTCATTATCTTGATTGTGGTGATGGTTTCATTAGGGCATGCATATGTTGAAACTTATCAAGTTGTACATTTCTAAATGTTTGGTTTATTATGGGTCACTTAAAGAAAACTTAAAAAAGAACCCACTGCTAAGCTTTATCCAGTCTTCACTTTGCACATATGTGTCTGTTGCAGATTTCTCCCCTCACTTGCATGCCTCCCAGACCTATCTCCCTCCATTTCCCAGATATGAGTACAGTCATGTGCCACATAACAGTGTTTTGGTCAATGACAGACCACACATACTACGGTGGTATACCATCTAGCCTAAGTGTGTAGTAGGCTATGCCATCTGGGTTTGTGTAAATGCACTCTGCGATGTTCAAACAAGGATGAAATGACGCATTTCTCAAACAGTAAGTGGGGCTTGACTGTTCCAGGAAATTGAATTTGATGTTGGTCATTGCTATGCATGCTTTTCTATTTTACTATGTAAATATTTATGAACATCATATAACTTTGTTTTGCATCTCTTCACATAAATGGAGGGTCATTCATAACTTGTTTTCTTTGCTCAACATTGTATTTATGAGTCAATTGTTTAACTTTAACCAAATGTTGGGGCAAGTATTATTACTACCATTTTACAGATGGAGAAACTGAGGTTCACCATGACAAGGTAAGTTGCCCAAAATGAGTGGTGAAGCCAGAATTGAACCAGGTGTGACCTAAGTCAAAGTCAGAGCTTCAAGAAGTGACCACAGGTCCCCTGTATAACAAGTTCTAGCAATGGAGTTAATAACCATTTTTCAAAGGAGTATGAACCATGAACTTTATTTCAACATATCTGCAATGACTATGTCATATGAAAAGATCTAGTTTCTACTCATGACAATAGAGACTGATAATACTACTATGGCTTGTCACTGCTTTCCAAACTGAAAAACTAAATTTCAGTTAGATCTAAGTAAATGGATATAAATATACTATTCCCCATCCAAGTCCACAGACCCCCTGAATCCTCACTATGAACATGTTAGGAGTCTATGGACCTTGGGAGAAAAGTCCTTGGACTTGCATCTCAACAGAGGGCAGAGCCATGAAGTGGAGGAGCTTGGAAGCAGCTGGTTTTGCAGGCAGAGAGGAAGCTGATCTCAGGGCCTTGAGTTTTATGTTAAAGATAATCATGTTTTCATTTCCCTGATCAAGAGCTACAGCGGGGCCTCATGCACTGCTTAACATGCCGAGGAACTTCAAAACCAGATGCCTGACAAGAATAACTCCTCCCTCTTAGATACAGGGCAGAGCATAGAATCAAAGGCCTGGGCAAAGCTTTGCAAATTTCCAATTGTCAGTGATCTAGTCTGATTCTGTGGCGTATTTGTTACAGACACATTTTTTTCCAAAGAAAATTATTTTATGGCTTAATGTGAAAGCAAACCCCCAACAGACTGCCCCCCATGCTTTCTCCAAAGCCCCTGGCAGGACCCCTCTGGTTCCTGGCCTCAAAGAACACCCCGCAGTTTCCCAGCAGCCCATGGGGTCTGCTTTAAGCAGATCAGCACTGTGTTTTGTCATTTGTGAAGCTCACCATGTTCGCAGTCCTGCTCTCAGGCTCCCTACGGCTCAATT